CCAATAAACCAAATCTGTGTGTTACCACGGGCGTGTGTTCCTTGGCATGGCATGCCCGCGGAGTACGCGTCTTAAGAAAGTTGTCTCCGTCCAGATCGATGCTGCTGCTCTCGATGGTGTTGCAACCAAACCGGAAGACCATGACGCGACTTATTTTCTCTGGTGCGACGTTCCCTCGCTTTAAGGGGCGAACAGAGCTCCGTTATAGGCGCCATTTATCAATACCATGGTGTCACCCCAGCGCCAGGTTCCAGAGGTGAAACGGGGATCGGCCGGCCTGTGGTGTGTGCCTGTGTTGCCCGCGTGTCTCGTGTTGCGGTTGAGTTTCTCCGTGCCACAAGGTCAAAGGGCTGCATACCGCGTTCCGCAGGAACATTTCACTTTAATTGGTCCACCTCGCAGCCGGTTCCCCGCCCCCCCCATAACCATGAGACTCGGCGCAAAAGGCATCACGAGATTCGCAAACTGGTACATAAAACAGGAAAGATCAGTGTTCTCCCGATGGGGGATGGAGGCTGTGACAAAACAAATTGAGGCCAGGAGGATGTGGGAGTGATGTGTTCTCTTTGTCGACGTGCGACCACTGTTGCTCATAATGCTAAATCTTCGAAGTGGTCACGGTACTATTTTTCTTGCCCCCAACACCATATTATAGTTGTTGTCATGTTGTGGTTGTTATTCGTCGTCTACACCACGGCAAGCGTTAAGATCTCAATTGAGCACTTCCAAAAGCTGCACAACAGCCCAATCCCCCAAGCACGCAAGGGCAGTGTTTCTGCGCCGCGAACGAACAGAGAGCTCGCCGGCACAACGCCTCCCGGTCAAGCCTTCCCTGGGCAAACACATCCCCACAGCACCAGGGCAAATAACCACTGTAAGAACCACCAGCTGAACTGCTACGAAGATGGGGTCCGAACTTTTCTTCTGAGAAACTCGACGAAGGAGTCCACGTCTTCGTCCACAGCGACCCGATCGTCCGAGACTGTTACCTCTCCCCCCCCGTCCCGCCGCCCCTCTCCCTCTCTCCCCTCTTCTCTCCCCCGCCCCCCCCCCCTGCAGCCCTCCCTCTCCTCTCCCTCCTCTTCCCCTCCCCCACTGCAGCCCTCTCTCCCCTCCACATCTTTCTCCTCTCCCTCTCCCTCGCCCGTCGCCGCTGTAGCTCCTCGCGCTCTTGGGGGGGGCTTGTGTTCTTCTTCTTCGCCCTTCTCCTCCCCGGGGGTACCCGTCGAAGAGCTCGGCGGCGGCGAAATAGACGAAGTCTGCGCCGGCCGTGGGGTTCGGGCGGGGCAGATGGCTAGAGCTGCCATGGTTTTGCAGCCGAACACCCCCCCGAGGCTGCTGCTTGGCTCCGACAAAACTAGGAAAGGGGTTGCTGGATGGTAATCGGTCAGGTGGAAAGAAAAGGAGCGAGAAAACAAACAGGCGCGAGAGAGAGGGCGAACGACGAGAAACGAAAACGGTGGCCGGCGGGAGAAGAGCATCAAGAAAGTTGTGCGTCGTGCATACACGTGTTGTGTGCCCTCTTGAAAAACATACGCCCTTTGGAGATGCACCGCAAATGAGCGGGAACGGGGTGAGGCTTAGGCTTTCTTGCCGCAAGAGAGAGCGAGGCAGAGAGAGAAAGGACAGACCTGGGCACAAATGCGGATACAAACCGACGCAACCTTGTGCGCGCGTGCGCAGCAGACGGCTGCATGGTGGAAGAAGAACAAAGGTGATCAAAACCGTGGGTTACCGACCACGGTGCCTTTTTGGGACCTCTATTCCGAGTGGACGTGAGTTCTCTTTCCTGTGCATTATCGCAGCAAAAGCCTAGACAGACGTTTAGACCGAGAACCACAACTACAGCTGAGCAAGAAGCTCACCGGTTAGAACAACCAAGGCGTGGACGTGCTCCACCAGCCTCGCGGGCCTCACATCCCTGCAGATGAGCACGATCGCCGGTGGGGTGTGAGGAGGCGCGGGTGCGACAAGACTTGCCCTTGCCCCCACCTCCGCCCCCGCCCCGGCCTGCGCGCTGTCGCACTTCCCGGACGCTTTCGAGATGCCTTGCCGGTTGATCGAGCTTCCGCGTGAGGCAGAGGAGGGAGTCTTCGGAGGAGCAGCGGCGGCGGCGGCTTTGGACTCCAGGAACTTGGTGACCTCGTTGATGCCCATCCTGAGACGCCGCCTGGCCGCGTCTTTCTTGGAGCCCCCTGTCGGAAGGGATAAGGTGTGTGTGTGTGTGGGGGGTCGATGATAAAATACTCGGTCGCGGTAGATTAAGCTATCTGCTCAAGTCAAGACAGCAGCCTCCACGGTTTCTTTGTACGCGCATGTCTTCTCTTGCTGCTTGGCCCTTAATTAAGTCTCCATCTTTCGGTTAACTGGGAACAGAGGTACGACACCAACTCGACGCGCACACGAGCATCGTCCCAGCCGCACCTGGTCAACATGACGCACCTCGAGCTACGGTTGTCCACCCTTGTGCTATAGCTATGGTAGAAAAAGTAGGAGAGTTATATACGGGTAGCAAGCCCCTTGGTCTTATCCCCGAAAAATCCCCATCCGTCACACTCCTGTTCAAATGCGGCGTAGTCAACAATAAGAAGCACCAAAACACACGGGTATACCTGCTTGGAGCAGGGTGACTATCTCCTTCCCCAGCCTGTCTAAGACGATCTTGCTCTCGTTTGTCTCCAAGGCGAGGGCGGCGCCCTTTGTCCCCGAAGACCCTGGTGAAGAGGCGTGCTTAGGCGACTTGCCACCACCTGCGGTTCGCAACAGCCACGACACCCGACACGTGTGAAGACATAACGGATGGGGCGGGGTGGTACTCATGTTTTTCATGCCTTAGTTGTTAGACCATTGACCACGAGTCCTCGGGAGTAGTGTTCCCACATAGGGGGGCGTGCTCATGTCTTGCAAGCCTTAGCTGTTAGACCTATAGAAGCCGAAATCAAACCATTAGAGTAGAGAGCAGACATAGCCAGCGCTGACCAGTCTAGTGGTATGATTAAGGCTTCTATAAAAGTTAGTCGTGGGGTTCGTGAGCCCCGGCACTTTCACTTCCGAGGAGGGTGACTCCCCTTGCCAGCGCTACTCTCCGCCCAATCTTTATTTCGCTTCATACGACTCGCCACCCACATCCCGCAAGATGTTTACCCACATCGCGCGAGATGTTCTAGGGTCTCAGACGAGTCCTTCTGTCACCCATATTCTGGCCAGCTGACTAGTCTAGAGGTTTGATTTCGGCTTCTAAGACCATTGACCAGATGGGGTGGGGGGGCGGAAGGGGGGTCCCGTGAGTACGGGAAATGGGGACATGTACATGTAAATGCGTATTTGGATCGAGGTGACGTATGTCTTGTGAGCGCTTGGGCACCGAAGTCAAGAGGGTTTGAGGAACATCCTCGGAGCGCAGCAGTGGCGCTGTCCCCTAGGGTTCACGATTTTCGTGACAAACCCACCCCGAGCGCTCTTCGAATTACCAGATTCAAAGTCACCCTCACGAATGGTCTCGTATTTTCTAGAGTCAGACATACTGTCCGCGTCGTGAGTTTAAGGCGAGCTCCAAAAGCGAGCGGGGGGGACAATACCAAGCATTCATGGCAATGTTCAACAAGTCCGAAGGCTTCAGCTCCGACGACGGAAAACACGCAAAACTTGGCACGAAACGCGTCCCATCAGGCAATCACAGTGGTTCCAAAACTACGGAGCTCGAACTGTCACACAGACTCCGGTATGACCTTCTGAAACCCCAGAACTCAACAACTCCGCCCGTTTCGCCTCTGCATCCGAGCTTGGAAGGTTGGGTTGGGTTCTGGCTAAAGAGCACCCAGAGGGCGCCAGAGAGTTATCTATATCAAGACGAAACAAAAACCGTTCACGTGTGCAATTCCTCTATACTCGCCCAACCGCAGAAATGGAACCCAACCGCGAGCTCAAGTCGAGAGAGGTAGAGAAACCCGGCGAACGACCGCAAGTCAGGGTCCGTGTGTATAGACTTCCCATTGCAGCAAACCCTGAGTCGGGGATGACGTTCGAAAATGGTGATTCGTGGAAAAAAGCTTTTTAAAACAGCAATGGGGCAACGATTTTGGTTGGACGGCTCACAATTCCCAGTGGGGTGGGACCCATGCCGAACACTATCAAAACTTGCGGTCTAGCGAGAGGCAGAAACTGCTGCAGGACTGCGGTACAAGAAGACGTGACTTCCCTCCCCCCCCCCCCCGCCCCCGCCCACGCACGTACACCTGACATCCACGCTTGCTTTTGGGGTGCACTATTCGTTTTCCACTCACGCTTGACGTTTCGGCCCACCAGCGGGCTGCCTGCTAGAGCCAAGGTCATGGGACGACCGCGCTTCTTCGTTCCCGACCCCGACATGTTGGTTGGTTTGATAACAAGCTGTGAGTTTCCTTCCCTTCCTTCCTCTCTTTGCAATCCCCGTCCACAAACGATCTTCCAGGCTTTAGCCACGGATGGGAGCAGCCAGTTTCCTTGACTTCGAAGCAGCGGTGCCCTCTCTATGAGAGGTGGTACGCGTTGGATGTGTGCCGACTTGTGTGTGCCACATGCTGTGTCGCTCCTCCCGACTCTGGTTAGACCGCCCGGGCCGCGTGAAAGGGAATGGTTCTCTTTGCGAACCAAACGCGGACAGGCGCGGCAGAGCGGCAGATGCGACACCGGCACACACTCTCTTCTTCACAGTCTCCCCTGAGGCTGATGGTTGCCATGAAGCGCAAGAGAGCTGGCCAGGAGTATGACGAGGATGAGAAGCTACGGCATCAGGTGTGGGCTGGTTTCATCTGCGTGTCGTGCGTGCCAACAGCGTACGTAAAAACAAGACCTGTCCATGACCAGCCACCGAAACTGCTACAGAAAGAGAGAGAGAGAGAGAGAGAGAGAGAGAGAGAGAGAGAGAGAGAGAGGGAGAGAGCATGGTGGTATTGTAGAGAGAAGAAGGCACAAGCCTTTGCCAGTTCCCATTGCAGCCCCCACCGCGGTGGGTGCGGCGCCTCGACACCTATTTGGCACATAGTAGTAGCAGCACTCCTTCCTACCAGATGATACAATGCCGAAAATGAGCTCATGAAGGAGCATCACAACGAGCCGTGCTGATTTCAACAGCAGCAGGATGATACATGTGGATCTTCTGCCTCTCCTCGTAGCAGTGTTTGTTACCGCCACCAACACCACCATGTTTGTTGCCACCACCAACAACCCAGGCGACGAAGACCCTAACGAAGGAGGCGAAGCGCGTNNCGAATCCGCGGAACCCCCCTCGGACAGGGAGGGGGAGGAAGAGGGGGGCCAGAAAGGTGCAAGAAGGAAGCAAAAGGGGGGGGGAGGGGAGGAGGAGGAGGAGGAGGAGGATTGTGGAACGAGAATGATTCGGGAGTCGGAGGCGATCGGCAAAGAGGGCAAGGGCGACGGAGGGGGCCCGGATGCGGAGAAGGCGAATCCCCCCACTGCCGCTGCGGTGCACGGCGAGGAGGTTCTGTTGATCAAGGTGAGAACATACCGGCGTTTGTTGCTCGGTCCGTTCAGGGAAAACCACCAAAGGCAAGCGAGGTCTGAGAGAGAGAAAAAAGTCTATTTTTACGATTTGGCTCAAGTGTATGTATTCTGCTGCGGTGGGCCCAATTCAACCCTGAACACCCCGAACAAGAATTTGTTTTGATTTTTGGAGTGTCCAAAAAGAGAGCAAGAGGAACGCCGCTACATAGGTTCATCTCGTGGCCGTGTAGCGTTCGTCGACCGGGCGTTTTTTCCCCCACGAGATACAAGCAGCTGGTGGGCAGGATGCTTTGCAGTATAGGTTAGCAGGGAGGCACAGGGTTCGGAGAGACGCGCCCGCCAAGGAATCGGCCGGGACTTGGCAGCGCAAAATGCTTCCGAAAGAACGTCAAAGCACCATTCCGCATCAGTTGGATCTGGCATCCGGTGCCCGGAGTTTCCGTTCGTGCAGCACTAGTGCCGTTAGGGACGCCCCAATCCTCACCCTTGCAACTCTACTGTAGGAGCACACACGCAGAAACATGTTTGGCCTTGCGTAACCAACCCTGGCGATCCTACGAAGCAAGCGCCCCCCCTTCCCCACAGAAGTTACGGTACTCCGTACTCTGGGCGAGGCTGTCCATCTCTCATCCTCACGGTAGCATCGACAGCGTCCTATCTCTAGACAACAAGGGCCCCGACACCAAACATCCTTCTACGCTCTACCCGCCCGCCTATTTATGGCCGGGATGCCCAATCATCCCATTGCATATCTGGTTTGGAACCGGATGATGACCATCTTCTGGTTCATCCTAGTGAAACTCAGCCGGGGCCGGCGAAATTCCGGCATATCGCTCCTCCATCCCGGCGTCGTTGTAGGGAGGCGAGGTCTACGGTCTACCCACTACGGCATTCGCGTACATGAGTCACACACCCGTACATCCGCTCTCCCGACAATTGCGACGGTGACAGAGCCTGCAGCCGCTTTCGGTCGTGAAGATATGCCTGCGCCGGCTAGGCCTGGCGCATACGGGTGTCCAAGGCGAGGCGGAGGTGGAGGTGGAGGGGGGCGCCGAGCTGCAGCGCCTGGTGGGGCAGGTGGTAGACCACAGGCGCGTCGCCGTCGTGATGGACGAGCTGCAGGAGAGGTATGCAGGCTTGTGTCGTTTTTAAGAGACGAGGATGACTTGATATTCATGTGCCACAATTCGACGCAACATTTTTTTTAGCCAACTATGTTGGCGTACATTGAACGAGAGGCAGGATAAGAGGGGGTTGGCTGCTGTATTGGTGCGGAATGAGAGACGAGGTAGAAGGGTTGCGTGCTTGGCACGAAGAAGCAAATGCTTGTCGCGCCCCTGTTCCCCCGCCCAATCCCGCTCCTTGCAACGTTCGTTCGTCCTTCCGTTCGGCACCACTTTCCGTCCTGATCTGCGTATGTTTGCCCCTCTTTGACCGCTTCTGTTTTGGGGGCGAGCGAAGAGTGACGATGAGGAGGAGGGAGAAATTGGCTGAGTCGGAAGGGCGGTCTCTGCCAGGTCAAGGCAAAGCCGCAAGAAGGAAGGAGGGCAAGGGCAACAAGAAGAACCCCGCGGATATCGACGGGCGACAGGTAGGAGATATGGAGACAGGAGACGGCGACGGGGAAAGGGTGGGAGAGAGGGAGAAATAAAGGCGACAAGAAGGGAGGGGTGGTGGTGGGAGAGAGATGGCGAGACGGGGAGAGGGAGAGGGGGCGACACAGATTCAGAGTCGGAGGGAGAGGGGCGGTCGGGCAGATGGAGGCAGAACGAGCTTGAAGTTGTCACGATGGTTGTCTGCTGTTGTCCGTCGAATGATGGCGACGAATTACAGTCGTTTCATTTTGCTGCGTTTCTTCATCGGCACTCCTCCTCCTCCTCCTCCTCCACCACCACCACCA